ATAGCTATGAGAGTGAGTACAACACGTCTGAAAAGAATGAGAATCCATCTAAACCACTTTGAAGTAAGCAGGGCCCTGCCAGGTCATCAAACGGGGTAATGGAGCACCCGAACGTGAGGACCACTGCTATATTGTACGCAAGAAAATAATTATTCATTCTTGCCGTAAGCACTCACCAGGTTTAGATGGATCTGGGCTTTTATCGATGTAACCAGCACTGCATACACAATCGTACGAACTCGCTCCTCGTTCGATACATCGCGCATTTGCATCACAGTCATGACCTCCTTCCGAACAAATGCGATTAGCTGAAAATAAAAACAGAGATCATTCATCCCTGATCGCTCTTCTTTCCTTCTGCTTGACATCACCATGAATCGCTTCCCCATAACTTGCAAACTCTCGAACCAGCTTCGTAATAACCTTTTTTCAATTATTTGAAAGCGAACCTTTTTTGCAGTTTCGTCCTGGATTCCGAAGTTCATCGTCGTCCATAAAGCCCTCTTTACACTGACATTTATAGCCTTCTCGAGTGTCTATGCAAAACGCATTCTCGCTACACGTATTCAACGTTTTATCGGCGCATTCGTTCACCAACGCTCGACAATCCGTTCCGGCAAAGTGATTCGGATTCGGACTGAAAAATGAATTTTGAAATTTCGGAATATTTGAGGGATTTTTCCAAAAATTAGCAAAAAAAACAAGTCATGTTTGCTTAAAAGGAAGCAAACCTGAAATCAACGAAGTTTTCTTTACATCGGCAAACGAAACCATTAGGAAGATTGATGCAAACGGCATTCACTGAACAATTATGCGTTCCTGATGTACACTCATCGATTTCTGAATTCAACGGAAACTCAATACATTGCAAGGGTTGCCGTAAAATTTGATGTAGTTGTGAGACTTCAAACCAATCTTTTGATTGCTTTCACTATTCCAACCCATTCATGTTAAGATATGCTTCGAGCATTGCAATGATTTGTTGGTATCCATGAATTAATTGAGTTATTGACAACTTACGTTGTTTGCAGACACGTCCAGGTTTTTGCGATGGATCGGGACTCTCGTCAGTGAAACCTTCATTACATGTACAGATGAAACTTTCATCTGTATCGAAGCATTTTGCATTTTGATCACAATCGTGCGTTCCAGCTGTACACTCGTCAATCACTGAAACAGCAGAGGAAAAATATGAAGTGAGGCACTTTTTCAGAGTGATTTCAATTCGAATCACGTGTTTTCATTAGTTTTAGCCCTTAAGAACAATGTTTCCGAATGTGCGAACGTATCTGTAACTGGCGATTATTGGTGTTTTTCGAATGTTACTAATCCAAGATTAGGAATGTCTCAGGTAACTATTATATTGTTAGATATTCATAGAATGCACACAGTGTATCTTAAGACTCACGGCAAACTTCTGTGATCGGGTGTCTCTTATAGTTGGCTTCACATTGGCATGTGTATTTGTCGCCATCCGGTAGACAACGTTCCCGTTTCCGTTGATCACAAGATTCCGGAATTGTCGGATCACATGTACCAGGCAGTTGGCATTTATCGCTTCTGTAGTTGCGTTCATAGCCTGACCTGAACAATAGATCATTTGCTCAATTTTATGGCTACTTTAACAATGACAACGCTCGAATGCTGAGATCTGCGGGAACTTACGCGCACTGACATGTGTGTCCACCAGCTTTGGTTCGTACGCATTCTTCATGTTCAGGACATGGTCTGTCTGCATCACACTCCTCCAGTGCTGGTGAAACTGCAGGTGGTTGACTGCCCTCTGAAATCATACGGTTTCACACATCAGGAATATACGAGCAACTTTTCATTGAACATCTCATGGAATTGTTAAGGTATTCATTCAGCTGTTTTTCATTCTCAGTTTGAAAGTATCAAAAAACAACTTCGGAACAGAATGTGGAAACATACTACATGCTCCAGTTTTTGGATCTCTGTAGTAGTAGTCGAGGCAAGCACATCTGTGGTTGCCGAATGGAGTGATTTTGCAAACGTCTGGATGTGGGCATGACGAAACAAGCTCTGGATTACACAGATCACCACCACAACACTAAATCAAATGGATTTCGTTATGTATATCAATGGATATCAATGGACTGATCATGGATATCAATCGACGACATGCAATGATCAGATACTTACTTGAGTAACTGGATTTTTCTGAAAACCAGGTGGGCATGTGCATAAGTTCCTGCCGTCCTTCTTCACGCATACCTGATTTAGCGATCGATCGCAACCACGATTCGTTGACGGATCACATGGTCCTGAATTGGATAAAGTTTAATCTTTTGTCTTACTTTACTTTTGAAGAAGAAGAATAAGCAAAGAAGAAGAAGCAAACCTATTGCTTCTATTGAGTGATTTTGAATACGAATCGTTCTTTCAGATAACTAGTCTTGGAATGTGTGGCATCTTTTGAATCGAATAATGAATTCGATAGTGAAAATATCGAATTATGACAGTGCTCATGTGCATTACTAAATTAATTACCACAACCTCACACATGCACACACCTTTAATTGCTGAGGCTTAAATGGAGTTGCGAAAGTCCTCCTCTGATACTTACCTTCTAATGGTTCCGCTGGTGGAGCCGCTGGGCATGTTACTTTTTGGATCACACTCCTTAATCGTGCGTTCAAATCTTTGAAGCTGCTCACACGGAAGTAACGATCTTTTGCACCTGACATGACACATAATAAAATTCCCTAATAGATTCAATCGAATACGTAAATATGTTTAGCAAGCAATTTTTTCAAGAGTACCTCCAAGTGATGCTCTGAATTACTCTTTGATATCGTCACACGCTAGATTATTTGTTCATATCAGTGATATCATCTCATATCGCCAGTTGTTCATATATTTATATGAACTCAGTCTAAACCGTACTTACAACCATTTTTCAAAACGTATACTCTATTTTTTGTTGAACGCTTCGAAAATTTCCGTGATTGGTGGAATTTACACACCAATGATTAGTCATCAAATGAATGTGTCTGCGTTTTTTGCCGTCCAATTCAACCATTCAAAATGGATCATAATATAGGAAATAAATTTTGATTTCTTTTCATGTTCGCTTGCCTATTTCGAGAGAAATTATTTTTTTGAAAATTAAATTACATCATTAGAATTACTTCCAGAAAGAACCGGTTGCAGTTCCAGTTTCACTGTAGAGAGAAGGAACAAAATTTTCCAATTTCACTGATCATCACTACGCATCTTGATCAATCAGCGCAATCAGTTAGAAGTGAATTGATCAGACGAACAAACGTTTATCATTTCAATTTCTTGCAGAAATTTTTGCACTTATTTTAAGCTATTCCTCACTTGTTATCTAATTCAATACCATTTGTATTTAGTAATTGAACTGCGAATTTCAGTACTTCTTTCAGAGAGAACAAACACGACTTTAAGCAAAAACATGATAAATTTGCCATATATTTTTGATTTTCCTTTCAGACCATTACGTGAACTCATCAATGAACCATCACATGCATTTGAATTGACAGGAATCGCCTCGTAGCATGATTCAGCTTTAATTACCACTTCAGTGGTTGGATAATGTATAATCCGGAATGATCGCTGACTTTGTTTGACTAATTTCAACTTACCAGCGATGTTTTCAAGTTCAGAATCGAGCACATGCTCAGTGACACCAACAGCGAATAG